TGGTTTGACTGGTAAGACGTTTTTTTGGTTTGTTTTGTTTTTTTCCCTTTTTAGGGAGCTGATTTATTCCTTTCGGACTGTGCAGATTTCAACAATAATTCGACGAACTTCTGTGCTGAGTTGACAACTTACAAATCATCAGACGATTCCGAATTCCGACTTTACTTGTCATCAACTTCGCTAACTGCATCGGCGACCACGGAAATTTCTCCTATTACTGATGGCAGTTCATCTCCACGGCTTTCTAAATACTTCCTCAATAGAGCCGACGATGTCCTTCACTTCGCTCTGCAAATTGTCTAACCATTCCTCTGATTCTGCTCGCTAAGTCACATCATCGCTTTGCAAGGCAATTACGTCTTGTGTTGTTTTACTCGCATCTTTTAATGCTTGAAAAACTCTTTCCTTTACGGTTCGTAGCACCGTTCTGCTACCTTTCTCGCTAATAATATCCTTAGCCTTCTTTGAATTCTTCGTTACGACTCCTTTGAACGCTGCCCTTCTTCGAAGAAGATACTCGATTTGTCGCGAAGTCCATGTTTCGATGTCCTCTTTGTCGATTTCCGAGGCGTTTTGGATCCGTCTTTCGACGCCCTTCGAAGAATAAACTGCAATCAATCCGGCTCGAAGGACCAAAATGTGTTTCGATGATAAATTCTTCAACTATTACAAATTCGAAAACGAAAACGCATACACTAACCGTACTGTTTTTTGTAGCCAGCCACAATCATCTTCTGCATGCTAAATTTACTTTCACCTTACTTTACAAAAATTTGTGATAAAAATTAAAAAAATTATCGGGATGTCGTGAAAGATGTGCCTGTTGAGTGGAAAATTCCCTAACACCCCTACCTTTGGCTCAGAACGCAAAATGCTGTCAATTTCTAATGATAGCAAGGTCTTTCCAGACTTTTTCACACTTTTTATAGTATGATAGTCATCGAAGAGCTGAAAAGTTTAATGAAGTAATGTTAAAATGAAAGTGTTTCTTATAAAAGCAATCTTTCAGTCATTTTGGACTGCAAATCAATGGATTAATACCATGTATAGTATCTGATTATGTGATGTGATGTTCTTATTATGTTATGTAATCTCCAAGAACTTTAATCAATGTACTTAGAAATAATTTAATATTTTCATATTTCTAGATAAGTTGACATAACCTCCCATTTCCCAAGCTCGGGGACCTTGTCCACGAAAACAACAAATTAGTTTTTGGAATCGCCCGTGCCGGGCTGCCGGGAATTTAACCACAGCTAATTTTGAGAGGTCTTTCGGATCTCTTAAGCTTAATCATCAAATCCTAGCCTCACGAAGTAAATGTATACAAGAGATTTTTCTGATGTAAAGCGAAACGCAAACAACGATGCTGTACTTACCTGTTTGTCATAAGAGAGGTTGTACTTCAGGGCTAACCTCTCAACTTCTCACTGACCACCACTCATTTTTACGACCCAGACATTAGAGTAAATCTCGCTGCCAAAAGTTTCTGTCAGAGCGAAAATATAAGAAACAGAGTATAGCCTGAGAACCCAGACATCGTACGTCGAATTTGTAAAGACAACACAATAACGATTACTTAGTAAGCCGAGGGACCAGGAACCTGAAGACTGGTAACGAGGAAAATTTTATTATTCCTTTGAGGCTGAAGCGTCACGTCCCCGAGCTATCGTAACGACTATTGCGAATATGAGAGCGATCTTTGCAGTAATGAACACTACTTGAGCGGTAACAAAGAAAACTTCTAGTACATTTATAGCAATTTTTCATCATTAGAATGGGAGAATTTTTCCTTCGCTAAAGAAGT